GAGCATTTCCTTTCGCTGGTGGACAGCAATACAAAGAACTACGAGTTTGAGGGTGAGTCTCAGAGCAACCTCTTGGTCCCCCCTCCCCTCTAATATCTCGCTTTTCCTCTAATAGGGGACGTTGGCGAGTTCAAGGGCTGCTGGACCAATGGCAAGGACTACTTCCGACTCGATGGCTCCTGCAGCGTTGAGCAGCGCGAGGCCATGTGCAAGACCTTCAACAATGTGGCCAATCTACGCGCCCGACTTTTCCTCATTTCCACGCGTGCCGGCGGTCTGGGCATCAATCTGGTGGCCGCCAATCGTGTGGTGATCTTTGATGTCTCCTGGAATCCCTCCCACGACACCCAGAGCATCTTCCGAGTGTATCGCTTCGGGCAGGTGAAGCCCTGCTACATATACCGTCTGATCGCCATGGGCACCATGGAGCAGAAGGTGTACGAGCGGCAGGTGGCCAAGCAGGCCACCGCCAAGCGTGTGATTGACGAGCAGCAGATCTCCAGGCACTACAATCAAACGGACTTGACGGAGCTCTATTCGTACGAGCTGAAGCCAACGGCGGAGCGGGAGATGCCGGCTCTGCCCAAGGATAGACTGTTTGCAGAGCTGCTGACCGAGCACGACAAGCTGATATTCAAATATCACGAGCACGACTCCCTGCTGGAGCAGGAGGAGCACGAAAATCTGACCGAGGAGGAGCGAAAGTCCGCGTGGGCCGAATACGAGGCGGAGAAGACACGCACAGTGCAGGCCTCCCAATACATGAGCTACGATCGCAATGCCTTTGGCAATCAGGTGATGGGACAATTTGGCAACGCCTCCGGCAGCGTCACCTCCAACAAGATCTTTGGCTTCCGTTCGGACATTCTGCTGCAGTTGCTCAACATGAAAATATCCAAAGATCATCCAGAACTAACACAGAACCAGGTCATCCAATTGGTGCCGACATATCTGCAGCAGCTGTACAACGAGATGAACAATGGGGATCCCTCCATGTACAAGGATCTGTTGAATCTGCACGGGAATATCATACACCCCAGTGGCATGTATATGAATCCATTGCTCTATGCCAATCAGCATCCATCGGCGGCGGGTTATAATCAGGGTACAGGTGGTGCCGGTGCCGTTGCGGGTGTGGGTGTTGGGGCCGGTGCCGGTGCCGTTCCAGGTGTGCCAGGAGGAGCACCGCCTACGGTGCCTGCAGCACCAGGTTTCGAGCCGGATAAGGTATACGAAATTGATTAGGATTCTCCACCTTCACAGAGGCAGATTGGATAAACACTCTCCACTCCACAGAAGAGAGAGAAGCCACACCCACACGGCCCTCTCCATTGAGAAAACACAACCCTTGAATGGGTTCAAATTTATATTATAATTTTAGGTAATTTCGTGTTTTTTGTTTTTCCTAACAAATGGATCGATCATCTAAGCTAATCCAATAACCAATTTATTGTTTTCTCTCTCTCTCTATCTATCTCTCGCAGTCTAGTTAAGGGTTTAAAACTGTCCTAAAAATTCAACTGTAGACTTACAATTTTGCATTAGATACAAGATAAAAGATACACAGATGCGTTTTTCAGTTATAATTAAATATAAACACACAAAATACTATTTAGATCGCCTAGCTATTACGATTATAATATTGGAATGAATGGATACGCTGTAGCGTCTGGCTAGGACCTCCTCCAATCCCTCACACACACACAGGAACATTATTTAAACACGCAACAAACGATAAACAATAAATGGCACAGATATTATACATACAAAAAAAAAATAAATTTAACATTTAAAGAGGTTTTTATTGGGGAAAGGACAGGGTTATTGTGGTATGTCTGAAGCTTGGAGAGGAAGGCGTCGGAATATTTAAGAAATAAGTGCTTTAGAGGGATCTTCTGGAGATATTTAATGATTGAAAGCAAAGTACTTACATTGATTATGGATATATCTGGCTTATAACATCTAGATATAGCCATATTTTATAGGTTTGAAGCACACCTTGAGATGTTTAAAGGGATTTTAAGTGTTTTTAGGGATCTCCTGGAGATATCTTTTGCCATTTAGTCACTTACAAAGGAAGTTCATTCCAATGATGAGGAATATATCTGAGGTATTAGCAGTAGATATAGCTATATTCCAAGATTTAATGAAGGTTTCGACTGTCCTTGGATATGGGTGGTGATGTAGAAGCCTGAAGTGGTTGTACATTCAATGTTTATAGATACAATACCTCTTTTCTGGTATATAAGATGTGGATTTAGAAATACTTTATGATTTAAAACAGTTTTTGGAAGTTTTGAACGGGTTGAACGGGTTTTGAGGGCTCTTCTGGGGTATCTTTATGGCCTTTAGCGATTAACAAAGGAAGTACTTTCCTAAAAGATAACGAATATACATATGTACAATGTATTTGATGCCTTTGGATTTATGATATCGATAAAAGGGAAGGTTTTCGCTTATTTTCCGGCAAAATAAATCTTGATCTGGTATAAATTTTGTTGTTGTACCGCCCACAGGAATGGAAAGAGAGTATAGGAAGATGTGTGTGTAGCACCCAGAAGGAAGCGTTTCCGACCCAATAAAGTTTATCAAGTATATCCTGTCCCTCACTCCCGAGGAGCGCCGAAATCTCGGAGATTACAAGAGCTAGAGCAATACAATTTTATATCCAGACTACTTTGATATCACACTGAATCGAGTTTCTTTCAAAATTTTGCCACGCCCCTTTGCGCACTTTGCAGTGCCTACGCAACGTGCTCACACACACTCTTCCTCACGCAGTGTGCCCTGAATGAGTACCGAGCATTAATTTCGAGTGGCAGCCCTGGCTGCGACTCAGTTCAGTGACACAATTTGTCAGATTCAGATTTGTTCGATTTGTGGAAATATCAACAACAAAAATGCCGAGGCGCAAGCGCAAGACACTAAGTACTAAAAACAGCGATACCGGCACGGACGCCGCGCAGCCGCAGCCCCCTCCGGTCAAAAGGATGCGCATTGCTTTCCAGGCAATGGGCATACCCAAGCGACGCCAGACTGTGGGCACGGTGCTGGTATGCGGCACGGGCGACTTCGGGCAGCTTGGCTTGGGTGAGGATATCCAGGAGCGGAGGCGCCTTGCAGTGGTGGAGAGCATCCCAGGTCCTGTGGACGTTTGTGCCGGTGGCATGCACAGCCTCGTGCTGACGCAGAGTGGCGACATCTACTCGTTCGGCTGCAACGACGAGGGCGCCTTGGGGCGAGACACCAGCGAGGAAGGCAGCGAGTCGCTGCCCGCTCTGGTCCGTTTGCCCGGCAAGGCGGTGCGCATCTCGGTGGGAGACTCGCACTCCGCTTGCTTACTGGAGGACGGCAGCGTCTATGCTTGGGGATCGTTCCGCGACTCGCACGGAAACATGGGCCTGACCATTGAGGGCAACAAGCGCGTACCCGAAAATCTTTTGGCGGGAACTGTCTGCTGCAGCATCGCCTCGGGCTCCGACCACTTGGTCATATTAACCACCATGGGAAAAGTGTACACGATCGGATGCGCTGAGCAGGGCCAGCTGGGACGCATTTCAGAGCGTTCAGTGGGCGGAGAGGGTGAGCTTTTTCCCCCACATACCATACCTATGCATGTGTCTTCCGAAACTACTTCCCTTACATTCAACCAGGTCGCCGTGGCAAGCGCGACTTGCTGCAACCGAACCAGTTGATCGTGCATGGAAGCAAGCCGTTCGAGGCCATATGGGCCACAAATTACTGCACGTTCCTTCGGGAATCCCAAACAGAAACTATTTGGGCCGTCGGCTTGAACAACTTCAAGCAGCTGGCCTGCGATAAAGATGTGATTCGGATTTTACATCCGATTAGGACTTCTCTTAGGCAGATCAATCAGATCTGTGGTGGCACACAACATACACTGTTTCTGAAGAATGATCAACGATGCTATGTCGTTGGTCGGCCAGAGTACGGACGCCTGGGACTGGGCAGCCAGCAGGACGTGGTGGCCGAATTAACGCCCACTATTAATCTCCCTGCCAATATCGTCCACGTGGGATGTGGCGATATCTCTTCATATGCCATCACCGAAGATGGCAAGCTATATGCCTGGGGCATGGGCAACAGCTACCAGCTGGGTGTGGGCGACGACGATGATCAACTGGAGCCGGCCCTTGTCGGAGGCAAGAGTATCCAAAACCGGAAGATGCTGCTTGCATCGGGCGGTGGCCATCACGCTCTGTTTTTGGGCGAGGCTGATGCAAAGGAGCAAGAGGAAGACAACACGGACAACACTCCTCTTGCCTCTTCTACTATAATCGAGAAAACTCCACCAAACGAGTTGACTGCCCCCGAATCCAATTCGGTTTTGACCGCATAGAGCAGCTTTTACCATTATCCTACTTAAGCTTTCCTAAAAAACCTACAACACCATCACGGAAAACACCACAAACACTGCCAATGGATCTAAGATCTAAGAAAATTATTTGATGTTAAAATTTGTTTTTTTATAATATTTGATTTCCGCGTGCATCTTACAAGATCCTTTATTATGTTATTCTAATAAACAAACTGATTTAGATTAAACAAGAAATGAAAGAAGTTTCGACTTTTTTGGCTCCGTAATGCTTTCAGGCTTATGATACTGCTGTGGGATCTTCTAGGAAACTTCTAATGGAAGAAAAATATAGTAGATTGAGTAATAGACCATTTAAAGCCGTCTCTGGATATGGGATGCTGCAGAAAGGAACGTAGAAGAGATTTGTGGAATCTTTTGGAATACTCTTAACGATAAGGAACACAGGTACAGCTTATGATATAGGATAGGATAGGATTGGATATAGGATTCTGTACAAAGGACCGTAGCGTATCTTTTGCGGAACTTCTAATGCAAGATAATGACACAGAATTTGGGCTATTGGCAGTGGCTATATGTAGACATGGATCCGTTTACAATGCCACAAAAAAACCTTCTTATAGACTACTACAAAACAGTACGAATATGCCTGGAATCCAAAAGGTTTTATAGATATACAAACATTTATTTTCCGTGTAGTGTTTATTGAACTATTAAAATTACAAACTAGAAACCCCCGCTTGCCCATTGATTGCGCCACTTCTCACTTGGGCGGCAGCTTGCCCATCATGCGGAGCTGCTGCATTTGCTGGGCCTGCAGCATATGCTGTTGTCCCGGTGGCATAGGGCCCACGGGCGACATGCCACCTGGTGGCATGCCCGGCATTAGGCCAGGGCGTGGTGGCACCCCACCACCCATGGGCTGTTGCATGCCGGAGGGGCCCTGCAGCATGCCGGGATTGATGGGCGGCGTCGGACGATTGTGGACGCCCTGTTGGATGTCGGAGAGGCAGGCCTTCCACTCCTCCAGACGATTGTAGTGCTTCTGCAGGAGCGCCTCCTTGCGTTGGATCTCAATGCTGAGATCTTGGTTCTCGTCCTTGATCAGCATATAGGGCTTGAGGGTGGACACGAGGAAACGTTTCTGCAGGAAAAATGCCTCCATTTGGCGGGCCACATCGATGAAGCGATTTGTTGTCTTTTGCACTTCCAGTTCGATTTCCTCTTTGTTGGTGCCAGAGTTTGGCTCCTGTTTTGTCAGTGATAGCAGGCAGGACTGGAATGCTTCCTCGAACTCGTCCATCAGGTTTCCACTGCCAGGATCGTTCTGGGCCATGATTTAAGCGGATTTTTTATGCGTATTTAGAAAATTTGCCGGTCCACCAGTGTGACGACTCGATAAGAAATCGAACTTAGCCCACTTAAGCCCCCTCTATTTAAACAGTTGAACGTATTGAGGTAAATGGCGGCAAATATTACTGATTGTAAATTCTTCTTGTCGATCCATGCTATATTTCGTCTAAACTTAAAAAAAAACACGATTTCGTTCACCTGAACTGCGCTAAAATTAAAACATGTTCATAATTTTCAGTGGAATATTAAAATACCCTTGGCTTACAATTGGTTAATCATTGGTGGAATTGGTGGTTTTTGGGGATGATAGTTGGGCCGATAATTCGCGTGCATGCCGCTGTTTATATAAACAAATGAGTATTAAAAAAATTGATATTTAAAATGGCTTCCATTTTTTTTTTTTTTTTTTTTTTTTTTGCATCACAGGCGGGCGCCTCTTGCATCGTCGGCATTGACAACTCTGAGATTGTCTACACAGCCATGGACATTGTCAGGTATGCTTCAAGTTTATCTGTTTTTTTTCCCTCTGTTCGTAGGAAAAACAATGTAAAGAACGTTGAGCTGGTGAAGGGACGGCTGGAGGACACCGAATTGCCCGAGGCCAAGTACGACATCATCATTTCCGAATGGATGGGCTACTTTTTGCTGTACGAGTCCATGCTGGATAGCATCATCTATGCCCGCGAGCATCATCTTAATCCCAATGGCATCATTCTGCCCAATCGATGCTCGCTTAGCCTGATGGGCTATGGCAATGACAAGCTCTATGCCGAGCAAGTGGAGTTCTGGTCCGATGTGTATGGCGTCAATATGCGCGACCTGGCCAAACGCTCGCCAAACGGTGGATCCCCGGTACGTGCTGACAGCGGCCGAGCAAATAGACAATTTCGATATGATGACCGTCGATCTGAATTATTCCCACTTTACGTACGAGTTCAGCCTGAAATGCACACAGGCGGGTCGGTTGTCAGCCTTTGTGGGTTTCTTTGATACGTTCTTTGAGCTGCCACGCGAGGTCATGTTCAGCACATCGCCCTATCACACGACCACGCACTGGAAACAGACTGTGTTCTTCATTGATCAGCCACAGGAAGTGAGCTGGGGCGATGTCATTAAAGGGAAAATCATCTCAAGACGAAACACCACCGATGTCAGGGCCTTGAATGTAGAGATTCAGGTCTTTGGGAAGACCTATAAATACACCGTGGACTAAATTTGAATTTGATATTCGAAAAACTGCAATATATTGCCTTTTACAATATGTTTCTTTTAAGACCGGTTTTAATTAAAGATTCGTACAACATACGTTTGCTTTTGACAGAAAGTTGACTTAATTCGATTTAAAAATATGTAATATGTATAAATTAAGATGGAGCACTGCTAGATTTCAGGAGCAGGAGCAGAGAGAAAAACGTAAAATTGGTCGTGTGGGAAAATATGTATATGTATGCTTTAAGCGGTGTTTGTTTCCAACTCGGAAGCCGGTATCTCGGGCTCCTCGTCGTTGTATACGTTCTCTGCCATTTGCCACACCTGCATTATGTTGTCCTCGGACACGGAGCAAATGATCCAGGGCTCGTTGGGGTTCCATGAGAAGTCGCTGATCTTGGCCGTGTGGCCGCCGTGAATGAAGAGCAGCTCTGGTGGTCCATCTTCAGCATCCTCTGAGCTCTGCTCCTCGCCTATTTTCGACAAATCCCAAACGTGCAAGCGACGATCGGTGCCGGAAGAGGCAAGAATGGTCTCGTTATGGGGCGACCACTGCACCTGGAAGATCTCGTCCTTGTGCGACTCGAAGGAATGTAGTTTAAGCTTCAGATTACGCAAATCCCACAGTGCCACAGTCTTGTCAGCGGAGCCCGTGGCCAAAATGAACTCCGAATAGGGATTGAAGCTCAGAGAATTGACTTCGGCCGTATGGGCATCGACGGTATGCGATGGCTTTGAGGTGTTGTTGTTGCGCGTGTCCCAGATCATGAGCTTCTGATCGTCGGCCACAGAACCGAAAAGCGACTCGTGCAGCAGATGCCAGGCCACATCCTCAACAACAGCGGTGTGACCAGTGAAAATATTCATGGCATCGATCACGCGATGCTCCTTGGGCGTGGCGTAAATGTCCCACAAGCAGATGGTATGATCATCAGAGGCCGAGAGCAAGTAGCCTTGAAAATGAACCAACATTTATAGATTATACACAAAGGAGACAATAGGATTGCCTTACCATTCAGGTTAGGATTCCAAGAGAGGCCATAGCCCTCTTTCTGATGACCGCGCAGCCTCAGATCTGGCTGGCATTCACCGGATGGCTCCGGTTTGCTGGGATGTTTTGTGTAGTCAAACACCAGGACATCGCTCGACGGGGTTTTGGTAGCAATAACGCAAGCGTTCTGTGGCATATAACGAGCACGGTTCACCTCGCCTTCGTGATTGATTTTGATCTCAATCTCTATTTTGCCACACACAGAACCAAAGCCACCAAACTCGCCTCTTTCATTGTCGTAGTGCGAGCCATCAAACTGGGCATCTTCGCTGGGCAGCTGGACGCTGGCGATCAGCAAGTGATTCTGTTCGTCTGATGTGTGTGTCCCCAAAATGAGGCGATGCACCGAGTAATCCATGCCGTCCTGCTTGGTCACATCGGGCAGCCACTGGGCAGTCAGGGATGGCCATTCCAGAGCGTGTGTCGTGACCAAATCGTACAGAAAAGGGGTATTCTTCTTCCATATCTTGTACTCTTCGTTGATCACACGCTCCTCGACGGCATCGTCGAAAGATTCCGCCGCTTGGGAAATAAGTCACAAAATTAGCCTTAATTTATTTCACATTATATTCAACTTACCATTATCACTGCGATCCACCATTTCGAACGTGTGCACAAAGTATAATTAACGCAAAAATTTGGTACGCGTCGCAAAAATCGGGCGCCAATACAATGAAGCCAAAGCGGCAAAACGCGTGCACAAGCCGGGGATAAAAAATGTATCTCACTTGCTACTGCCTCAAGTACGCGCGCTTCAGTTTTTTACTTAAATTTTACACACAGCAATGAGCACTAACAAGTACTTTACAACTGACTTCTAAAACCAAGTGAATTGACAGCGCAAAATTGGAAAGAATTTTCCATACGAGTCGCTATATTGTTGTTGAGAAACCAAAATTGAGGCAAAAACAAGCAAAGCCAAGTATTTAATGTGCCAGTTCAATTGGTGACAACACTGGCACCGACTCGTGCGCTCCTGATTTTTAAATAATAAATTCATTATTAAAAATATCATCCAAAAGTTTAATAATAATTGCACTTGATAATAATAGCAAAATACCACCGATCAGACGTATGTCATATCGCGTTTTGCATGGAAATATCTCGAAATAAACAACAAACCACCAAAAAATACAAATCGCCCTCGGCGAACAAAAACAACAAAAAACGCGGGAACGCAGCAGCACAAACAAAATCTGTAGTCGGCATTTTCATGAAATCAGTTTAAGCACCTGGATCCTGAGAAGCATGGCAAACAGAGGAAAGACAAGGATGGCCACGGAGAAGGCGACGGGAGTTAAAATTCGCACGGAAACGCTGAAGAAAAGGGAAGGAGAAGCTAAATCCGCCATGCGGGTAGGAGTAAAAATGGCGGCAAAAACGGCTCCGCAGAAGAAACCAAACTTGTCGACGAACGTGTCGACAAACATGTCCACGAACACGACAACAAGCATGACATCAAACATCTCTACGACGAAAGAGAGAGAGAAGACTGACGCGGTTTGTGTGGCTTCTGTGAGTACGAATAACGGAAGTAACCGCAAAACCATCGTTAACAAGTATTATGAGGGGCATAAAGGTCCATACATTGTTTGTATCGACAAAATGAGTGCGAATAATGCCAGAATTGCTATAAACCAGTTTGATCTATCCGATCTGCTGCTGAAACAGGGCATTAGCGATATCGAGGAGGTTGCTAGAATGGGCTATGGCAGGTGCAAGATTGTGTGCGGGTCGGCGGAGTGTGCAAACGGGCTAGTGGAAAACAGTGTTTTCGCTGCTCAAGGGTACTCAACCCGAATCTTTAGGCACTTCGTCCAAAAAGCAGGACTAATTTTTGGGATCCCCGGGCACTACTCGGAGGAACAGCTAGCGGAGCTTGTAACCTCGGATATCCCAATTGAGGAGATAGTTCGGATTACGCGAAGGGATAGAGCATCGGGAGAACGTGTACCTACTGGCAGGGTGAAACTCTGGTTCAGAGGAGAGCAGTTACCAACCAAAATCAATTTTCTATATTCTAAAGTAGAAGTGAAACCTTTTGTTCAGCTTAATCAATGTTTCAGGTGTTTTAGGTTTGGCCATCTGGCGCAGCATTGCAAGAGTGGAGCGAAATGTTTCAAATGCGGACAAGATCACAGAAAAGATGTGAATTTCCTAGACCCAGTTGGCAATCTAACCGCCCCCCTGAATCCTTGAATAACAGCTTAGAGTCCGCCAGGGAAATTCATTCTGTCACCTCTTTCGCGGAAGTGACCAAATCCAATAGGGTTGCCGCCCGGAACGCAGAGGCGGCCAAGGCAGCAGCCAACATGGCAGAGTGGAAGAACTCAATAAACTCAGAATACGTCCAATTGAGCGAGAAATTTGTGAGATCTTCATCTGTGGCATCTTCTCTGGCCCAGGATAAGCTAAACGCACTAGGAGCCAAACTCACAGCGTTCCTGATTGATCCAAACAACATCATTAAAGGGGATTCTTTAGCGAATAAATTTATTAAGGAAATTAGAGAATTTGTCAATGCTTCCAACGCAGAACTAGATAGGCGTCAGATTGCCCAAGGGATGGCAGTTGGTTCTCAAAACATCCAACAATGAAGATTCTTCAGCTAAATATTCAAAGTCTGACACACAACAACAACAAACAGCTCCTCTCAATGTTCCTAGACAACAACGCAATAGATATTGCCATCCTCTCAGAGATTTGGGTGTTGAACAACGCGGACTGCAGCATTTTAGAATATAACTTTTTCTGCAGGCCCAGAGTGGACGGCTACGGCGGGGTTGGCATCTACGTCAGGAAAAACATTCAATTCAGCATTTTAAAAATAGAGAACGACTTGGAAATTTTAGGAATAAAAACATTAAACCTCAAGAGCAATTTCAATATTTTTAGCATATATGCACCGCCATCAACAACAGTTTCACAGTTTAAATCGGGCACAAAAAAGTTTTTCGAATTCGCGGCTTCGCTTGACATACCCTCAATAGTGGGCGGGGACTTCAACGCTAGGTCTTCTATCTGGGGAAGTCCGATCTGTGATCGCAAGGGCCGCAGCGTTGAGAATTCCACCCGGGAGGCCGGATTTATCTGCCTAAACGACGGTTCGCCAACCTTCTCCAGGAGCCCATCTCAATTCTCCGCTCCTGACCTTTTTCGAACTACAGAAATGGAACTATTAACTGGCAAGTCCTCAAAACAAAAATTACGAACAGCAACCACTTCCCAATTGTATTATCAGTGCAAGGCCTAAATGTCCCCCTCCAAGGCAAGAAGATCCTTAACAACAGAATAGCCCGGATTCTGGGTGCAAGTGATTTCTCAAATCTGGAGGAGCTCAACGAAAAAGTGAAATCCCTGACCTTAAAAAACACGGTCACATTCCCAAGCAAGAACAAGTACGTTGCTAAGAAATGGTGGAACGAGGAAACGGAAAAACTTTTTCGCGTGAGAAACGCTTGCAGGCAGAAATTCTACCTCACCAAAAAATTGGCTGATGCCAGAGCAACCTTAGAAGCTGACAAAAATCTACAAAATCACGTAAAAAATCTTAGAAAGCGCAACTTTTCCAAGTTTATAGAAGAGGTCTCCTCATCGCCATCTATGTGGAGCAGGGTGAAGAACATAAAAAAATACGGTCATATTAAAAATGTAGGGAACAAATGGACGTACGAAGATGACAAAAACTTTCTTAATATGGTTAAAGCAACCCCATCCACGTCAAACAGTAGGCCCCCTAAGAAAATTCCTGCCCCTTTGTTAGGACCAGACGACCCGGAACCCCTGGAACTGGAAGAATTCCTGGCCTTCCTAAAAACCAGGAACCCCAATTCGGCTAGAGGCCCTGATGGCATCTCGTTCAGGATGCTTCAAACGCTACCAAGTGGGAAAAAACAAGACATTTTTGGAATTATAAATAAAGTATGGCTGAGTGGCGTCATCCCTGAAGTCTGGCGCAGGATAAAAGTGGTACCCATCCCCAAGAAGAATGCAGACCCTACTTCCTTCCAAAACCATAGGCCGATTTGTTTGATTAACACGCTGTTCAAATCCATAGA